GTTTATTATCAGCAGCACAAAAATAAAGCAACCATTATGTCTTTGACGAGAGAACGAAACCGAAAAAGTGAAAACATAAGAACTAGAGATTGCAAATACAAAGTCGACACACTTTCTAACAAGGAAGTCTCAAGAAAAATCTGCTATGAAAGATTTTGTACATTCTTTCAAGCACTTAACTTAATGATTCACATCATTGCCCTTGTAGTCGTTGCATCCTTAATTGCAATGAGGAGTCGATTCTTGTAAGACTGTTCATTGAAAATCAAAAAATTATCAGCAAGGGGACAAAAAGTGTAGAAAATTTTGGCCCCGGGTGGTCCATATCATCGTCCTTTAAGCCAAGAAAATCACTCTACTTATAAGTCGGATCGTTATCTCCATGTTGAGCCTGTGGTGCGTCTTGCTCGTTTTGTTCCTAGACAGTCAGAAATTTTCATAAGCGCTGGCCACAAGCAAAAAACTTTTCTTCTAGACTTATTGCTTGCGCACTGTGAGAAATGTTTCGCGTCATGGGAATCTTTATGGAAATTGACTTTTTTGGAAATTCACGTCAATGTTCTGCTAGTTATTTAGTCATAACCTTCTCAGGGATCCAAGAAGTGTGGCTAAACTTGGGAACGGGCATAGTCTGCACGAGAGGGGAAAAATTGGCGCTCGAAAAAGTCTATTCGTTGAGTTTTTATAATTTGTGGTATCATTTTCCAGATTATTCTCGTTGTTCTTAAAGGGGAGAAGAGCTACAAAAGTAGGAATTTTCCTCATATTTCAACCTCACTCCAAAAAAACACGATCAAAGAAAAACCCAAATCCAATCTCTGGACTGCAACCCCTTCTCCGCCTTCCCGCGTCAATCTCCCTCCCATACAACACCTATCTTCATATTTACAAACACCTAAGATCAGCGACCCGTGAAACAGCTCCGGCAATCTCGAACTGCAGTTGTGAAGTGCCGTCATCATCAACAATGAGAGCTGAGGGGGCCCCCGTTGCTCCCTCCATCTCATGGGTTCATGCTATTAGCCGCGGGCGCAGAGTCGTGTCGTTGAGTAGCATTTGCATCGACATGGACGGGGCTCTGCTCAGGGGGCCTTATGTAAATGGAATCATCACACTAAACCCCCTCAATCCTGGCTGATATTGCTGATTAGTTGCGAGAGAATCGTGTTAGAGACAACCCCCGGCGGCTGAAAAGCCCGACAGCTTTTGTTTTTTCGATTTTTGTACCGTCTGCGTTTTGGCCGGAGGATTTTTGCTTAATTCGAAAATTTCAGGAAAAATAAAATTTCCAGAAAAATTTGGATAGCCCATTGCGTACGTGAGCATGTCTGCTATACCATTATAAACTAATTTTCCAGAATAAAGAAACATTTGCAAATTTCCCGCGCCATATCTCTCTTATCTTCGTTTGAAACAAGAGAAATTATCTCATCGATGCACTCTATGGGCTGTCAAAACATTCTGATTGTTTTATTTATTTTTCCTTATCCTTTGATTTTTCAAGGTTTCCGCTCACCCTGCTTGTTGTAACTTTATGTACCTTCGATAAAGAGGCTAAACGCTAATCGCTCTCTAAATTGTTTACAACGACTGCCCCAATTTTCATGAATTTTGTGGAAGACTGAAGAATAATCACATTTGACTTTAGAAAGTTTCTACTAGGGTGTCCCATAAGTATTTTCATATCCGTAAAAATCAGCTAGCCCCAATTTTTGAATTAGAGCTTGAGAAACTTCTACAAGATGGTATTCAAGAATTGCAAAAGGTTTGATAACGCGAAGTTTGGAGCCGAAATTCAAAAATTTCCAATTGCCCGAAAAATCTGTTCTCAAATCAGAAAAATAAAATTCTACGGACCTCTAACTTGCTCAGGTATATAATCTCCGCATCAGACATTTATATTTACATTTGCTAAATTTTTCCATGGCTAAAAATGAAAACAAAAATATTCCAAAATTACGAAAAACCCAAAAATGTCGCTTTTTCTGGGTTTTTCTTGTGCTAGATTCATTATTTCTCGAGAAATTAAGCGCCTAGAATTCAGAAAATTCATGATATTAGCCATAAAGGTTTATACTACAGATTTGTCATGTAGGAACAGCCCAGCAGCTTCTACAAAAACACGCAAATTTTTATTTTCTTTATTTCTAGCAATGGAAAAATCACAGCAATTGTATGTATGATGTGGAAATTGTATGCTAGAACAAATTGGAGATTTGCAAGATTTTTTTGGTCGAAAGAGTGTTTTTTCTGAATTTTTTGGGCATTTGGATCTTTTTAGAGATCTCATTTTTTTGTTTGATTTTCTTCCGTATTTTTCAGATTGGGGACGTGGACCTTGCCTTTGTATTCTCTGTGCTATATACCCTTAGATCAGAGGAAATTTTTCTGAATCCTAGTTTTGCAGTCTAGTCTATGATATATGAATGCTGCCAGGTTCTACAAAAATCCAAAAACTCAAAAATTTATTTCGTTTTGATTTTTCAACTCCTTAGCTAGTTTTTCTTGTTCTCTTATTCTCAATGCTATGAAACTTTTTGCTACCATTAATATTAGCCAAACTAAGCAGACATGCATTTTGCAGACTTTGTTTTCATAATCACAATCTTTTTAAACCTGACTGCACCTACACATATACTAATAACTGTCATACAATCCATCTCGTGCCCCTTTCCTTTCTTTCATGTTTTTGGTTTCTCCTGACTTTCCATTTGTTCCTTATAATCACTCAACTTTTCCAGTAAGTCCTTTTACTGCTCGTTTATACTCCTCTCTTGGAAGAAAGTAAGTCTTTGATTTTCAATTGCTCCCTCTGTTTGCCTTTTTCCAAGAAGTGCAGATTTGTGTTTGATCTTTTGAAATGCAGAGAATAAGTCATGCAGCTTACCATTTCTTGCTTGGCATCTCAAGGAGAGCCAATGAACGAACTTAAACTTTGCTCATAAGTCTGTTCCATCATCCACTTTCTTTTCTGGTCCTACCCCATACAAATGCAAGAATGCCCATTTTTCTGAACCTATATCTCAAAATTCAGAAGCCAATATTATTTATTTATCCAACAGAAGCTCATTTTTGAACTCTCGCTCAGATGCCGTTTCCATAGCGAAGCGACGTCTTCCTCGGTTACTGTAAAAGGTACGGTCTGGGCAGGGGTTTAGAGTTGATTTTCTCGCTTTTAAATGGATCGTGTGAGCTACCACTTGGGTAACAGTTTTGATAAGGCCTTACAATTTTTTTCTGAGAACATTCGAGTACCCAAATTTACGTAAACAGTTCCTCCATTTTCTTTAGAGTTTTCCCCATCAAGAGCTTACTCCTGAAGAGTACAGAGTTTGCTAATGTTCCTTCTCACGGCCAATAATTTGTTTATGGGTGCTGAGCTCCTTTCATCGCCCTTTCCACTTCGGACGCCTCTAAGCCTATTGCTATTCTGAGCTTTGCTATGTCCGTATCCTACTTGCATCGTAGTGCATCGACTTGATTTTCAGAAAAAAGTTTTTCAAATTTTCTTTTTGTTGCAGATGGCGAATTCTGCCGTGTTTCTGTGTGGGCAACTTGGTGCACTTTCTGTACTTCTCAATCTTTTTGTAATCACAGCCCTAATCAGGTATGTTTTTCTTAAAATCTTAGCCAAACGCAAGCGGCGCAGTTTAACAATTTTATTTTTATTATTTTCAGAAATCGAAGTCGTGTGCTACGAAATGTATTCTATGTAATAGTTCTACACTGTGCTGTTTTGGATGTGGTGCGAGGATTATGTCTAATCGTTTATGGATTACCCTATTTTGCCAATACTATTTATAAGATTAATTTATCTATAGCGACAAAAGTCGCGCTATTCAGGGTAAGTTGGACGAATATATCGAACCAAACGCGTGCTTCCAAAATTGAGAGATAAACTCCAAAAATGTTCATAGAGAAAAAATCAAAATGAATAATTGAAGCATGGGAGTATAAAAAGGGGTATAGGGAGTTTGGCTCCACTAAAATATTTCTTGATCAAATAAGAAATTTCAATCTGGAGCGATCGTGTCAAGAGTATTCTATAAAGTTTTCATTTCGCTAAATTCGCATTTCTGCAATTCCTTCCAATTCTGCCCGTCCCCTCCCTCTTCATTCATTTTGTTGAGGTTTTTTTACAAGAAATCAAATTATAGCATTTTGATGATAAATGCTTTCGTGGTCAATGGGTCTTTGTGGGGTTACGGTAGCTACACTGTAGCAATCACTTTCCACATACTGCTCTTTTCCTTCAGCTCAAAAAAGTCCAGCTTCAGCTTCCCGGAACTCAAGGAAGTCTTGGCAGGGAGAAAAGTAGTCCATGAAAATTAACCATACTTTCAAACGTATTATACTAATAGAACTCTTTATTGTGGTTGCCTCTTTTTGAAATAGATAAGAATGAAATGGGAGATTTAATTTGATGAGAAGAAAAGTTTCCGTGTCTTTATTTCTTTTTTGGGGATCAAAATGTTGAGTCAAAAATGTAATGACGTGGAGTGCAAGGAGATAAGCTTTGATCAGTTCGGATTTCTTCTGATTATTTCTAGTGACTAGCAAAATTAAGCAGTACCTTTTTCTCTGCGAGCAAATAAAATCAAAGTTTAAAACTTCTAATTGTCGAAAACTTGTAAAGATTTTCAAAATACCCAGAAAAAATTTCGCACTGCTAAAAACATTGGACACAAACCTTAACCGAAGTAAAGCTCTTATAGATGTGTAAACCATGAGTAAAAATTTTCAGAAAATTGACCCAAAAACCAATCCTTTCAGGCGTCAACATTTGCTCTCGTAGTACTACGCATATGTAATTTGTTGACGATATTCAATCTACTTGTCTTTACCACAAATGAATTCATTGTGATTCGTTATCCACTGCACTATCGTACATACTTTCGACGTAGAGCAATTCTAGCAATATTAGCTTGCTGGTAGGGTTTTATACATATTTTTTTGCATTTTTAATAGATGTTAAACCAAATTAATCGATTTTTAGTTGGATGGTGAGTGTGGTCATGGGTCTAGGATTACTCGTTCCACCATCCTCACCATACTTTCAAGATTCAGGTAAGCTTTTTTCGGAATTTCCGCCAACTTTTCGCCAAATTTTCGCCAAAGTTTCGCCGAACTTCCGCCAAGCCTCCGCAAAATCCCTATTTTGCAGACAAGCCTTGGCACATTGATATTGCCACTCTCAGCATGTTAATGATATCTGTACTGTGCATAGTGGTTTTAGCCATAGTGGTGGTGAGTTTCTTCTCATTTTTTTCCAAATAAGCCTAGAATAGGCGATAATCCCACATCATGGAACGCCCAAACTCCTCGTCATCTCCTGCAAATAAAAAGTTCGTAAGTCAGAAGAAACGCTAAGATGAATAGGCTGATGTTGAGATTAGGCGAGTAGCCATGCAGCGTTAGAGAATGGAGTCATTCAAGCTCATAAATGCTTTTGTTAGGAAACTGGAATAACGGGAGAAATCATCAGTAGAATATATCATACGAAAACTGGTCTCAACAAAAAGTTTCCAATAGTCGCATATATTATAATTAGACCTTTTTGTACTTTTATTTCAACGAACACAATCTTACAAAATTTTTTTTCAGTGCGATACTTTCGAACAGAAGTGGGTAACCTATCAGCGATTTCAACAAACACATGGATTGTTTTAAAACAAATTTTAATCATCACGCAGTTCAACAGGGCCAATTCTTCCACATATCAAAAAAGCTCTTCTGCAGCATAGAATACAAAGCGGTTTTTTCCCACCGAAACTCCTAATTCATAATATAGAAATCCTTGAATACTATTTGTTATGTGGTAAGGTAGGTGTACGGTAAGAGGCCCATACCATAGAAATCGCTGAAGCCTCGTATTTGGGTCATCGACATTTTGAACACTACTATAACGATACTTAATACAATGACTCTCTTTCTCCTTTCTGGGTATCAAGAGAAACCTTCTGAAGTTTGTGAACCGTACTATATAAAGAAGTGGACCTATAAATAGCTGTGATATAATGTGATTAGCGGATGAAAAATCTTTCCTATGAAGTGTATTGCCTAAAACAGTATACCTACCGTAAGCTCAACAAGCACAGTCCAACTCAAAAACGAGCCTTCCCTTGAAATCCATGTTAAATGGCGTATTGATCAATATTTTCCATTTCCTTCTCGCCTACTTACGAAAATGAATCTTACAGGTATGTTACACCTTCATACTTCGCACGATCAAGAGGTTCAAGGATGAAAATGGTACTATTCATAACGAACACGGTCAAAGACATCGAGCTATGAGTGTCGCTAATTCAAACTCTGGAAGAAAGTGAGCGCTTAAACAATACAATTATTTTTGAAAATAATTTTTCTTTTCGTTTTAGGATGCAAGCTGTAGGTCGGCATAAGTATATTTATGTGATTGGAACAGTATTAATAGTGGATTTGTTATTTCTCTGCCCGTACTCAGGAATTCAGCTGGTCGCTTTTCTGCATATAAATCATTTGATAGAGATTACCCATAGCAGCACTTTGATACGTTGGTGGCTACAGGTCAGTAATCTTATTGTATCTGAACTTCTCTTCCCGCCCTCCCGCCCTCTCCCCTCCCCCTTTCCAGCTAGAAATCAAAAAGACTCAAATAAAATTGGTAATTTGTTTTGCTATCACATCCTTGCTTTTTGGATTTTGCGTATGCAGAACAGGCAAAAACAATTTTACGTGAAACCAAATTGTTTAGAGGAAAAAAAAAACAGGGCGTTTTCGGAAACGTGCCTCACTAAAAATTTTTTTTGACAAACATGAAAGAAAAGATCCTGAAATAAATGCATGTATTTTTTTGTAAATATGGAAACAATATCAGCAGCGACTGAGTTCTGCTATCGTTGCATCAGAAAAATAATATAGAATTTGCCAAGCGAATTTTACGTATGATTTTAAAATGTTATGATGGTTTTTGATTTGATGTTCTGCGTGAAAGATGGCTGTAACTCAATTACGAGTTTGGATTTTATTGTTTCAGTAAAAATCAATGAGGCGAGAAATTTTTACAAAAAAACGTAGCTCAGGGCAAATTGCAACCTGCAAAAACACAGAGAAGTTTTTTTTATGAGCTTTGGGCCACAAAACTACCACTGTCCATTCCCAGATCCTCTTATTCTAGAAAAAATTCCTCTATGGATGGCTACAGAAAGTGATCTGTGTCAGTTTAAGGTCTTACGGCTATATTACAATTTGAAAGTGTGCTAAAATGAAAAATTAATATTGATCAATGAGAAAAAGCAGCCTATGCCCGCCCAGCCCTCATGAATGTGCGCAAATTTTCTTCTGTTTTCAAGAAATGTTTACAAAATTTTCCAGAACATTATCGACTAGATATTAGTTTTATTGCAAGCATCTTGTACCATTTCCAGGTTTTAATTGGCGTGCATTCTGTCTGTCAACCGTTGTGTCACTTCCGAATGACGGAGTTTCGACGACTGGCTTGCTGTGTAACTCGTCCTTGGAATTCGCGGAGCTGCTCGGTGCTTAATAAAAGCTTTGGTCTGTCTGCCTTTTCACTCAAGTTTTTACGTTACAAATCCATACTTTTAGTAAATACGCGATCTGTCATAAGAGATGACGAGTTGTTAGATCCAATGGATTCACCGCAAATAAGGGAGCCTTTGCTAAATATGACGCATGACCCTGTTGGTTCGCTTTGCTCCCCTGCAAGGAATCGGTGTTTATTTGGTACTTTAGATTGTGAACTCTATGTCTCCACAAGCTTGGTCTCGACAGGAACTCACTCGGTTGCGAACAAGCGGCAATAGTGCACAGGTATTTGAGTCTAATCCCAGACGAAGGCGGATGCCCGCATAAACGCAGGCACGCGACCGCGTTTGCGCCCGCTGCGCAGGTACAAGCATCCGCCTTGGAACTAGACCCTACATATTTGTTATTATTAAATCTTGTTCAGTAAAACGTCCTTTTCAGATCATCAAGGAAGATCAAGTGGACTTCGTGGATGCGGATATTGAAATGGGTGCTGTAAAAAAGAAGTCGGCCGCCTTCTAAAGTTTTTTGCAAATTTATTCCCTGTGATCTCTGCGCGCATTCTATGCATTTTCCATAGAAAAGCCATACTTGAATTCATTATTGGCTTTCCAGCGTTTGTATAATTGTCATAAAAATACGGCTGACAGTCATTATCTATTTTCTTGACTTTCTGTAAATATGCTATGAAATGAAGATTACTAATGCGTTCGTTATAGGGGCCTGCAGGATCGCGAGAGTCGGACGCGCGTACGGCCTTTGCGCCGCGCACGCCTGATATCGCTGGGTCGTAGTCGATTAAGGCTAGATAGGTAAGTTTTTTTTGTTTTTCTTACATTTCACGCCTTCTTTTCTTTTCAGACGGTGAGCACATGTTGGTGCGGAGGAGTTTAAGATCTGAATTGAGGGTGAGGTGCAGGATTATGCTCAATAAGGACTCAATATTGCAGATCTTCCATGCCTGCTGGTTGAGATTTGGATTTTCTGTCCTGGCTGCCCTGTTACAGCAAATTGTTCTATTTCTACCGTCTATTCTACCTTATCTTGCATATTGCTTGTGATGATGATGATGATGATGACAATGATTATGATTGTGATGACGCGCATGATGCAAGATGAGGTAGAACAGACGTTGCAAATAAAACGGAGTTTCGTAACCGGGCAGGCAGGACGAAAAATCGAACATAATCGGACAGCCAGAACAGAAAACTCAACATTCTTTAAAGCAGGGGTGAAAAGTCCACAATTGGCCCGTATTGAGCATAATCCTGCACCTCACCTTAATCTAAATCTTAAACTCCTCTGCACCAACATATGTTCGCCGCCTGAAAAGAAAAGAAGGCGAGAAATGAGAAGAAAAACAAAAAAATCTCACCTATCCAGCCTAAATCGTGTACGACCCAGTGACATACGACGTGCGCGGCGCAATGGCCGTACGCACGTCCGACTCTCGCGATCCTGCAGGCCCCTATATCATAGTTGACATGATGAGTAAGCAATTAGGATGCTGACTGAATGGTGCAATGGAACGATGCTCAAGAATCTCAAGCAAACTTATCGTGCATGCATCTAGCACATCAGTTTTGTTAATAGATAATGATCTCACTTCAAAGATTTTTTTTTCGTCAAAGAAAATGATAGGCATTTTTTCAAGCTTCTTCTTTAAGTTCTTTCCGTCTGTTGTATCCGTACAGTATTCATACAATGTGCAACCAGCAGACGGATTTGGGTAAATGCTATTTTCAGTATATCAAGCAATTCGCCTCGTTGTAAGTATGAATTTGAAAAAATTGTGTAAACTGAGTAGCTACTGTATACCTAAAATTCAGGACAGCCTGTCCTGGGCAGACTATGGCAGTTCTATGAATAAAGAGTTGCGCCAGTCGGTTGAAAGAGGTATTCCGTTTGTCGTCCGGAACGGAAAGTACGGAAAAAAGGCAAACTGAAGAACGCCGCGCTACAGCGGCCGCCGCAGTCTTCAAGAATCAAAAGGATACTGTATGTAATAGGAAGCAGCCACTCTTTCTAGAGCGTTTTCCCTATTAAATTACTCCAGAGCGGGTAGGAGAACGAACGCCGCCAAGGGCCGCCTTTCGCGGCCTCTATTCCATTTTGCAATGTTGTGCATGTCGTTTCAGGACCAGTAGTCCGCGGAGGCCGCTCAAATTGGCGGCATTCGTTCCCTTACCCATCCAGTGCCTGTTCGTAGAGATCATAATGCCCAACTGCCAGAAAAAGGCTCCCTGGCTTTTAAAGTGATCAGAGCAAAATTTGACAGATGTATTAGAGTTCCAACAGTGAAAAAGAACGAAAACCCACGTTGCAGATTGTGGCGTATAAATACTAGCTGTGCTGTGAATGAGTACAAGAAAACATATAAGCGAATTAGAGGTTGCCTTCGGAAAAGCATAAATTTATCACAGCAGATCCGCTAAGGCATTAGGACGATATTTTATCTCATTTCATTTTCATTCAATACGCTCAAGGGGTTCCAAAACACATGATAAAAACTATTAGGCTGCTGCATAATTCTGTCCGAT